CCGCCTCGCCGCCGCTCTCTGCCGGCCGGTTCCCGCACTTGAACACAACACGGCGGTTGCCAAAGGGCAAGAAGAGCCGGTATTTAAAAATGAGCCCGTTACCGCCTTCTGTACTAATCACACAAGGAATTACTTCCACTTGCTAAAAACAAACACCCAACCATAAGTCGTTACCTTTTGACTTTTTCCTTTTAATAGCATCATTATCAAGAAAGTAAATACCCAGAAAATTCTCTTAGCAAGAAAAGAAATGTGCCACTGTGGTCTTTGCACCTTTTTTTTTATTTTTAGATTTTTTTTTCCAGCTCACTGGCTGTCACTGCAACCAAAATGTAAATCAAGTCTTAAATGGAATCTTTTGTTAAATCTGAGCCAGTTTTGGCTGGCAGACATATGGTACACTTCAAAATTAATCCTTTTACCAAGATGATAGAGAAATAAGCGCTCAGAACTCTAGATGTACCTCCTACACCCTACTTCCAGAATTGACAATATACAAGGTTACTCAGTACTACACAGTACTACACGGTACCCCTAAAACACAGCATTCCTCCACATTTCCAAGACATGCAAATTATCTAAACTTTTTTTCTGCAAAAAGCATACAGTTAGTCCATGTGATTTGCCTATCACCTACTTCTATTTCAGCTTCTATTCTAACTTGTGACCTACACAGTTTCTCTTATGTGCTCTGACGTTGTTGTTCTGTAATGGAGCTGCTTTTCCTCCAACAGCAGCAACCTTTTCCCCCACTGTTACAGGCCTCTCAACTACTGAAAAATAACCCATCAGTCAAGTATTGGAGGAAACAGTTAAAAATCCACACCTTAAAGAAATGTCAATTTTTCAGGATGTCCCATTTACACATAGAAAAGTCAGTATCTGGTAAGCAAAATGAAATAAACACAACAGTGGCAACTTGTAAAAGTGTACATAAACTGAGCTATCAAGTTGATGTAGAATTCCCCTGAGCTGACAGTTAAGGACTTTATCCAGTCTTTGTGACAAAAAAAAATAACAAGAACAGATAAGGCATGAATTACACCATCAGTTTATGCTAGCTGTCACAGTATTTACTGTGAGACAAACTTTTACAATGCAATAACAAGCACAACCACCTACAATCCATTACAGCAGAAACTAGCCACTTAATCTAAGAATGAGGCCTCACCAGTCCTTGGCACCGAGGATCCTGGATTTATATGTAAAGTTACCATTTGCATCAGGTTGACTGTGAAACCCTGCTCTCCATTTCAGCTGTTACTTGCACCTTCCTTACAAGTCACTAGCATCAGCCCAGCATACACACAGCCTCAGTGGGGATTAGGCTTTAGAGCTGGGCCTGCCCAGTTCATGGAAATCTTTCTTCTAGAGGTTTCCAATTCACATTTAGGTATTTGAAGGCATCTTCTCAGAAACACAACTTTCATCCCAGACAATGTTGCAGGACGTGGAAATTGTATCTCAGATGTAAAAGCATCCCTCATGAATACGATTAGATACCTGGCACAGCAGACTACTCATTTCCTTCACCTGGGGAGCAGCAGTAGCCACATCAGGGGCAGTCAGCATCCGATCTCCTGCTTAATATTTATTGATGCCAAAGATTCGAACACCATGCAACTGAGGCAGCTTGGGGATAAGCACAGTCAGGAGAGAGGTTGTGTTGAGGATAAAGTGGGTTGGATCATACTTTGTATAGAAACTCGCCAGGAAGTACCTGCAGGAGAAAAGGGAGCAAGCTTAGTTGATGAAATCTTTGTCTAAAAAATAAACAAACAAAGCACAGCTGAAAAATGTGCTTCAGTAATCACTAATATTCTACTGGTTAACAACTGATCTATTCCTGTATTAAATATCTCACCCGAGGTTCTAGAATATCTACAGCAAACGTATGGACTAAGTCTCTTCTTGCCATACTTCTCAAGGTGCTAAAAAGCAACTCTCAGCTAGTATATCCCTCCAGCACTCCTCCCTGCCCCTCAAGTTGGAGTCTCTGACTTCTGCAGCTACAAGCCTGATTTATGATACAGGTTTTAAATAGTGTAAGATCTGTTACCCAAATACTTGCGGTTCTGCTACCCTAGCAAGCTCAGGGACAAAGCACTTGACATTTTTCAGTGCTGAGCACATCTGGGATTGGTGTGATTTTAAAATGCTTCCATTCTGGCAGATATTTCCAGCATATTTTTTCTTCTAAGCTAGTCCACAACCTGTTCAACTGCAAGAACAAGGAAATGTGTCTCAGAAAATCCAATTCACTACCAACTTCTTGAGCTTTGAGCCAGTAATTTAATCTTGTTCTTTGCAAAAACTAGTCAGAGAAATGATGCCAGCACATTGTTAGGTTTTTGGGGTTTTTTCCCAGCAAAACCGAGATGCTTATTCAGCTACTTACACATTATTAGTGAACGAAGAGAACCATACACAAGAGTTATCAATATAAAATTCCCACTGGAAAGTGGGAATCAATCTTTGAAGAAAGAGATATTTTTTTTTTGAGGAGTTATATATATTTTTTCAGTTTTTATCCTTTGTGAACCAATTTTCTAAACACGATGCAGGATCTTTCCCTTCCCCTCCAACCCTGCCATGCAAGTGGACAACTTCCTTCAGGGAAAAACAGAAAGTCTTTTTAGAGTTGCATGTTAAATATGTATCTGATTTCCTTTAGTTGCACAACCATACTTCTGTTGACAGAGACAGGTGGTGTAGGATTTCGCATCTATTTACCTAACTAGTGTAAACAGAGGACAATCTGTACAAAGCAAAACCAACATGCAAAAATCCTGGCCCATTCAGTGAGGATGGCCACACTCCTCGGAACTCACAAGTTGCAAAATGGTTAATAAATGCTGTAATGTGTTAAAGGCAATTAGTTTAGATTTTCAGTATTTATGACTTCACAATCTCTTAAAGAACTTCAAGAGTTAACAGTAAGTGTTCCTCACATCCTTTCTAATCTTTATAACCTGCCTCATTAATATCTGTTTACAAACTAACTTCAGTATGTGAACTAAAGCTGCAATAAGATTGTTCATTATACAGCCTGTAAATATGTACTCCCTACTTCTGCGATGTAGAAACAAACAAGCAAAGAAAGAGAGAACATGCTCTTAGAACATAAATTGCAACCCATTTAGCTGCAGCTTTTGAAATCATTGTTCTATGATTCAATTAATCCATAATACAGTTTTGAACTCACAGAATTATAGGAGAGATTGTGAAGAATTTTCTTGAAGATGTAAATTGTACTCCATAATCCAGTTGTTCCCAGTGTGTTAGTAGCCTAGCTTTCCCCTGATCAGGTGTTTCAAAAGGAGTTCCCTTTACTGCATGCAAAAACACATACATTCCCTGGGAAAAATAAAAGTGAATACAGTGGCACTTTTAGCTATATTTTTTTTGCAATTGTTACATTCTTCAATGCATTGTGGGAAAAAGAAAAAAAAAAAAGTAAATGAATTCTCATCCAGAAGAGCTGCTAGCCTGTAATGACAAATTATCAAAGAGCAAGGAAGAGACAAGTGATTTGCCAGAGGTTGTGCAGTTAGTGGCACAGTCAGAATTAAAGCCATTAAAGCCAAAGTCTATGAGACATACAATCCACCGCCTTGTCTTCTACATTAGATTGCAAAAATTGCATGAAATCAACCGAATTTTAATAAGCACAGTAGCGAGCTTAGGGCTGCCAATTTATATGACCACTTTCCTAACATAGTGCTAATTGAGTTATGAGGTAGAGTCTGCACAAAACAAAAAATCTACCTACAAATACTAGCAATATTACAAGAATTTCTGAAAGCTTTCTCCCCCCCCCC